ATAAATGTGAAGATTTGTTGGAAAATATCGAAGCAAGCTATTAACAGCTGAGAATCAGCTCGTCGTTGTCGTAGTTCAATGTATGTTGTCGCAAGGGTCTCCGTTTTTACATCATAAATGTGCCTTTAGTTAGTGAAGTCGTAGAGGAATGTTTTTGATTACAAGTGCGGCTGAAATTTCTCCAATTTTCAATCATCAAATTTCGGGTGTGTTTTGTGTATTTTTAGCATTGATTAACTTTTCATTGATAAAAATATTCCCAGACAACAATCTGTGCACTATTACTGCATGATCACAAGTAGCACAGAATATTCCTTTCGAAATAGATTCCTATGCCTGATGAATTCGAAGCGCTACCGCCTTTCAGGCCGATTTACATACTGATTTGCGTACTTGTGTCGGAAATCTACAACCACTAGTTGGTGCAATATTTATATCCGAATATATTTACTTAATTGTTCATCTCAATTGTATATAGAAGTAAATATTAACAAGTTTTTAAACTTCAGTGGGAATTGAATACGTCATTTGAATTTCAATTGAATTGAATGGTCAATACGTCATAAAATTCTCTGAGATGGCCTTTGGGCTTCTTAGGATAAGATTGCGTAACCGATCCACCTCAATTCTCATTAAAGTCTATGATCGTCTTATTTATTTCTTAAACCAGGCTTGCATGTAATTATGAATGCATATAAATTATATTTCTGTTTAATATCATCATAAAATAGTAGATATCAAAGGAGGTAAATATAAGAACATTCTTTTTTTATTGCAGATTACTCACCTGAAAACCAAAATTCCTTAATTTTTTATTCATCAAAATTTGGGAGTGTTTTTGCGTATTTTTAGCATTGATTATCAATTTTCACGAAGAGAAATATTCACAGACAACAACATGTTCACTTTTACTGATCACTAGTAGCATTTCAAAGAATATTCCTTTCGAAATAGAATCCTTAGCCTGATGAATTCAATGCGCAACCGCAATTCAAGCTGATTTACACTTTACGTTCTTTTGTCGAAAATCTACGACCACCTATTAGTACAATATTTTTATCCGAATATATTTTATTGTCAATCTCAATTGTATATATGAGAAATAAATAGCAAATTTATAAACTTCAATGGAAATTGAAATGGGTCAGTACGTCATAAAATTTTCTGAGAAGGCATCTGGCCTTTACATGATTAGATTACGTGACCGATCCACTTAAATTCCCATTGCAGTTCACAAAGTTGTTAATACTTATTTCTTAAACCAGGCTCTCAAGTAATTATGAATACATATGAATTTCATTTTGTTAAATATCATCATAAAATAGTAGATATCAAAGGGGGTTAATATAATTATAAAATAGTAGATATCAAAGGGGGTTAATATAAGAACATTCTTTTTTTATTGCAGATTCCACACGTGTAGAGAGTAAGTTAAATATTTTATCTATCTTATGGTCTTCTATAATAAAGATCTTAAATCCGTTTCTTCCTAAAAAATCCTCTCCTGAAAAAATACATGGTCATTATATTTCTTGAAACAAAAAATTCCAAACGTAAAATAAACATTTGTAATTAAACGAAAGATTTACAAATAAAAAATAAAGAACTATATGCTAAATATACTGGATTTCAATATATTAAGGATGATAGAAAATCCTGTATATTTTTTTAAACATCCAAAACTTATTTTAACATGTAAGATAATTATACTTAGATACATTTCGAAAGGGCTGCAACTATATAAATTTGTTAAGTTTTCTCCTGTTCAACAATTAGGAAATATATAAGAACCATTCCCCCCCCCCAATAAAATGTTATATTTGTGCACTCCGTATTTGCTCTGGGTCAGCCCTAGAGAGCCCGAGGTAACCCAGAGCGGACCCGGAGAGGAAAACCTGGGTGGTCTGACAGGTTGTGGCCGCTCAACTCTGTACCACTGTGATTGTATAAAGTAGCAAAAAAAGCTCAGAGTTTTAAATTGAAAATTCATCTCTACCTTTGAACAGAAGATTTTACTGAAAATGCGTACAATTGCTTAAAATTTCCACTTCGCTTAAATTCTGCTATAAATAAAATTTGTTTGATGCAGAACAGTATCAACAGCAAGCACCTTCCAAAACAAAAACAATAGACAATATATAAGCAATTCACATTCGATATTCAAGCTTATAAAGAGCCAAATATTCGCACTTGCAATTTTTATGTAAAAAACGAATACACTTTTCATTCTAGCGATATTCTATACATTCATTGTACCTTTGAAACTCCAATGCTACTTAATAAATTCACATTCTATATAAATTGTATTAAATAAATTATTTTACTTTTGTTTTAATGATTAGGTTAAAAAATAGCGATAGTTTCATATCTATTTGAGCATTTTTGCAATAATTTAAAAAAGAGAATCTATTCCTCCAAATCATTTATAATGTGCCATGGTAAGGATGTAAAATTTGTATTTAACCAGAGACCTTCTTCTATTACTCGACAGTATTGTAATCAAGTAATGTAATTTTACCAAATTTTATAAAGAATGTATAAAATGAATTAATTCAGTGCGCATAATCCTGTCGTTATTTCATTTATGTCGCTAAATTAAATTTTTCATGACGTCCGAAGTTTGACCTCCAATACGATACGCCATGAATGTGAACTCGGCCTTTCCTCAACTAAGCTAAGAAGTGATAGTTCTTTATAGTGCAAATGCCTTCCAAGATATGAGATCGCGGTTGTCAGGGTCCCATAAAAAAGACTAGCAACTTTCTCTCTAATTCAGAGTGCATGGCGAAGGAACAGTAGCTACTAAGAATAGAGTTTTTTTTTTGTTTTTTGTTTTTTTGTTGTTTTTTTTTTTTTTTTTTTTTTTGTTTTTTTTTTTTTTTAGTTTTTTTTTTTTTAGTTTTTAGATGATATACACAAATCGCTATATATATCATGTTATCTCAGAAATACTTTAAAAAATAACTATCTGAAATATATTTAGAATAAACATTTTTTAACATTAACTATGAATGTTTTTAATTAAAACAAATGCTGGTTACATTTGACAAAATAACTAGTTTGATATACTCTAGATAGCAAATTGAAATTTTAGACCGTTAGACCTCTGTAAAAAGGCTCTACGGGAGGACGGGAAGATTATCGACGAAAACTTCATCCTCACTGAAAATAACATGATTGATAGTCACTAATATCACATTATATCTGATAAATACCTGCAGTTTTTGGTTTTAAAACAGAAAAGAATATTCTTTACTTGTTTAATAGATTTTTAGCTTGTTAAGAAATGTTGTTTGGATGTTGAGTAGATAAGGTAACTCAAACTGTACAGGTGCTCTTGGGAAAATGTTGAGAAAATGAAAACTCAATCACGTATTTTTTAATAATACCTGTTACGTCGAAGATTTTGCTGCTCCGTGACATAATGATATGTCCTGAAAAATCACTCAAAATTGATACCAATTTACAATATTTTGATATGATATTTTGAAGACCATATAAGTAATGATTCTTTTATATTATGTGTGATATTTTGCCCGATTATGTCGTCAAATTTTTTTTCTGTGCAACAAGTCCGCGAAATTTTTGAACGTCCCTCGTATTTAACAGTTTAATGTTGCAAATTATTTCTTTTTGTAATGAGTTGAAGACCTCATAATTTTGTATGTCGTACATAACATTTCCTTTATAATTAAGGCTCCGCATCCTGATTGAAGCCTTAACTATTCTGTGAGCTTTTCAGATAGCAATTGATCAAATAATTTAATTTCCTGGATAACATAAATGAAGAAACAACACAAACAAACAAACACATTCCCACACATACCATGTTATCTTGAAAATATTTTAGTTATGGAAATGATGAACCTTCTGAACTCACACTATTAGATAAGAATATTGTCACGAAATTCATAAAAAAAAAACAAATAAATAGATCCTCTTCCCCTGTTACTAAAGTGCTATTAAGCTATGTGGTATATAATTAATTTATAATAAATATAATCAATTAACTTTATAGCTACATTTTCTGCTTAAGGGACAATATCCCTCTGCTCCGCATTTCACGACTTTTTTTTTTTAAATTCCAAACATTGATTTTCAGCAACAACTATAACATTCAATTCAAATAAAAAATAGTTTGAAGTATGAAGCGTTGCTTTCTTTTTCAGAAATGAATGATATGTCAAATCATGATTTGAAGAAAATTTGATATGGTCATTAGAAAGATCAATTATTTTTAATCTCACAATTAAATTAGAAATATAAGGTATATATAAAAATAATATTTACTCTCATACCTGTCTAATTCCCTTTAGAAAAAATACTGGAGTGATGCTTTTTAAATCAGAATATCAAATTGTTTTCTGTGCATGTAAAATAAAATGCATCCATATACAAGAGTTATCGTTCCATTATCGCCCTTGAAATTCTTTTTTAATGAAATAAAATATTAATTAAATGTTTATAAACAATTCTGAGGCTGTTATTTCTGTACAATTAAAAGACTTACACGTTTAGAGATAGATTTTTAATCAATTTACATCGTTTAAAGGAACTGAGTATAAATGTTTAAGGTAAACTATTAAAAATAATTTATCAATATACTAGCAATAGTATTAGAAAACAACCTCTGAACAATGGGTTAGTTTTGCTTGAGTTAACAATAAAATGGTCCTTATGATAGAGATCTGTAAACTCTGGCATGACAAATTACTGGATTTCATGACAAAATCCTGCAGAAAGTTATCTTTCTTTTCTCTAGAGTTATCTCTCTTATCAGAGTATCAATGAACCTTAAATGCTGGATAACATTTTTTTTTTCAAATTACATTAAATTATATTAGAAAGCAAACTGTTTATTTTTTTAATTCTGCATCCAAATTTTGATCCTGATTTTATGAAATTATAACTCCCATTTCTACATTTATCTCTATTATAATAAAAGTATTGTATTAGAAATGGTAGAAATAAGTATAGTCTTTGGTAATTGCAGGTTCCAGGTTTTACGATGGTAAGTTACATTTTGGTAAGCTTATGGTTTGTTATGTTATTGATTTATTGATTTGACAGTTGTTTTTTCCTCTAAAACCACTACCTTGTAGAGTAAATTGTCACAACATTTCTCGAAACTGAAAATTTTATTTCTATTCAAACTGTAAATAATCATGGGTGATTTGACAATAGAAGTGCATATACAAATTTTAAGAAATATATGATAAATAAAATTGATTTCATTATCTTCCTCTTCAAACCGCGACTGATAACGTCGCTTTCATCAGATGAAGTACGAATCGGCAAAGGTATACCCACTGGTGCTATCTACAAATTTGATAAAGGGTGATGCAAATCCAATGTAATGAAGAGATTTTCATAAAGTTTTTAACATGTAAACATGTATAGTACAAGAACAAATTTTAAATTATCATAACAAACGATGTTTTAACATAACTTTGCCATGTTGGTCTATTTGAACAAACATGCAAATCGTGGGTGTGTGTATGAGTGGGGTAGGGCAATCACAAAAATTAGCGGGTTTAGATTTTCAAAGGTTCTTTTTACCTGTCCAAATGGTTAAATACCTTTGCAAATTTTGATAAATTTATCCCCCCCCCCCTAAAAAAAATCAAAACCTGCGAACAAATTTTTTTACATTCTATGTGTTGATCCTCACTAGGAATTAAAATTCCCTTCATCTGTGGATTTTGTCTTATTGCACAATCCATAGGCTCTGTTTGAACAACATAAAGCAATGGAGCAATAGGACAACCTTGTCTTGCCGATCTTGAGAATGGAAAGTATTCTGATAGAAATCCATTAGTTTTGATTAATGAAATGAATTTAAGTTTGTTACCTAAATCAAACTGGCAATGGATTAAGTATTTTTAGGTCACCTGAGTAAACTCAGGTGACCTATTGCTATCTGTTTTCGTCCGTCGTCGTGCGTCGTGCGTCGTTCGTCGTGCGTTAACATTTGAACATTTTCAGCTTCTTCTCTGCAACCACTAAACCAATTTCAACCAAATTTGGTATGAAGCATCTATGGGTAAAGGGGAACAAAAATTGTGAATTTCATGATCCCTGCCCCCCTGGGGTCTGAGGGGTGGGGCCAAAACCACTAAAATTAATGCAATCTTTAAAAATCTTCTTCTTTACTCCTGGACATCAAGCAGTCAAACTGTTTGCATGATTGTAATCAACAATGAGTCGTCTACCAAAATTGTGAAATTCACGGCCCTGGGGTCAGGGGTTCTAGTGCTAGGGCGGGGCTAAATAAGTAGATAGTGAAAATGCATTATTTCTTTGAAAATCTTCTTCTCTGCTCCTGGGTATTAAATAAACCAACTAAGTACATAGTTATGATGAGCAAGAGTGCCTCTACCAAAATTGTGAATTTTATGGCCCCAGGGTCAGGGGTTCTGGTGTTATGGCGGGGCTCTATTGATTATATAGTAAAAATACATGAATTCTTTGAAAATCTTGTTCTCTGCTCCTGGGTATTAAATAAACTAACTAAGTACATAGTTATGATAAGCAAGAGTGCCTCTACCAAAATGTTGAATTTTATGGCCCCAGGGTCAGGGGTTCTTGTTTTAGGGTGGGGCTCTAATGATTATATTGTGAAATGCATGAATTCTTTGAACATCTTATCCTTTGCTCTTGGTTAATATGCTAATGATCTAATTACATATCTAAGGCCAGGATTTATTTTATTTTCAGTTTTACAAAGCCTCCGCTCAAGGTTTTGAATTTTTAGAAAAAAAATAAAACAATTTTTTTTCTTTCCGATGTCAAATTTGAGTCGGGATCGAGATTTCAAATTTACGAACTCGCACTTCCGGTTTTAAGATGAAACGGCAGGTAAATAAAGCTAGATCCGAGAATTTAGCTTGGTTTAGTGTAAATTCATCGATAAGAGTGCCATTCAAAACGTTTCACCCGTTCAAAGGCCAAATAAAATGCTGACGACTTTGTTGCACAATGACATGCTGGTGAGATAATTATGTATTCGTTTCAAAAGTAACTGTAAATTATTTTCCTCCCACAGGTTTTAAACTGCCCGTGGTAGCTATTGCATATTGCCAGGGACATTGTTTAGGTCTCTGTTATAGCTTACAGTCTAAGCATCATTCTTCAGAAAAGGGTTGCTTATGCATCAGATGTAATGAATAAAACTATGGGAGAAGTGAAGTCCATTTGAGGAAAAAATAAACAATAACCTGAAGTGTTGAAATAAAAAAAAAATTCAACTATTAAAAGGCAAGAATATTCAAACATATACAGGCATGTAGTATCATTTGTATCAGCCAGAAAAATTATATTACACTTAATTGAAAAAATGTTGACCCTACTCCCCAATACTTCCTGTCTGTTTTATGATAGGAATTATAATTTTAGGCATCAAGTAAATTTTAGAACAATGTCTACACACTCACCTAACACATATTAAAAAAATGAAGATATATTGAAAGACTTTTAAAGAATTGATTTTTTAAAATATATTTTGATCAACATCACAAAATTTATATAACTGGCCCAAACTGGCAGATGATGAAATAAGCAATTAAATGTTCTACTTTCCTATTTGTAAGCATTATGTGTCCAGTGGTAAGGAGCCTATTAGGAATAGCATAAAAAAAAGAATGTACAAATGTTAATAATTGATTTATCAAAAAAAATTATTTCCTTTTCCTTCGGGACTTTTTTATTCTCATGTTCATAACTAAACCTAAACATAAAAAAAAAATGCTGGCCATATAATGAAGAAAGGGGCCTCTTTCAAAATAGATAATTTCAGGGCTGCTGGGTCAAGGGTACCAAGGGGGTACTTTGACTAAAAATGAATTAATGCTTTAAAATCTGCCCTTTGATAAGCAATGGTGCTTCTTTCAAAATTTGTGAATTTCATGGCTTTTGGCTTAAAACACGAACCAAATACAATCGCTGAAAAGCTTTTACATGATATTCAGGTGACCTATAAGGCCCGTGGGCCTCTTGTAAAATTATATCAGGGTTCAAAGGTCACATGGTCACCATAGAATTTCATGCTCGAATTGATGAATACATGTACATGCTCATTGTAAATTAAAGAATCTTTTTTACTTTTCCTTAGTTACCCCATTATGAAGGAGTGTGTATTTAGAGGAAAACATACTAATGCGGGTTTTACTGTATCATGACATCATCTATTTATTATTATTATTGAAGCCTTTATTCACCTATAACCGTTTTTGTTTGTAGAAGGTTGTCCCAAAAAATCTTAACTTTTTTGAAAATATCCAATACTATTCAACCGAAATGCATGCTGTTGGAAAGATTTTTTTTAATTTAGACAACATATTGTACGCCTGCGATATCATTTGCATACAAAAACATCATTTAAAGTGTGTTAAATAAGGGTGGTCGGCCCACGATAACTTTTAACTTTTACAAATAGCAATGTCCAGTTAGCATAAAACATTTTTAAAATGTTGCTAAACATTTTTAAAAATGTATTAATCACTTGATTTTGTATGGTTTTTAAAACGTTTTAAAAACATTACAGTGAGATATTTTAGCAAATGTTGTCAGAACCTTTTCTTTAAATGTAGCAAAAACATTTTTCAACAATGTTTTATTCACGTTACTTTGTATGGTTTTAAACGTTTTTAAAACATTTTAGTGAAATATTTCAGTAATTGTTTCCAGAACCTTTTATTAAAATGTAACAAAAACATTTTTCAACAATGTTTTAATCACGTGATTTTGTTTGGTTTTTTAAACGTTTTTAAAACATTTAACAAAATATTTCAACAAATGTTATCATAACATTATTTTAAAATGTAACAAAAACATCTTCGAAAATGATTATTCACGTTAATTTTCATGATTTCTAAAACATATAAGCTTAATGTAATAAAAGTTTTTTTTCCCCTTAAATTTTACTTTTTCTCATTAAATAATGATGATATTTATATTTCAAAAGAAATAAACACAAATTTTATTTTATTTTTAAACTTCCAATACAAACCAATATCCAATATGTAAATCACATTTAAGTTCAATTCTCGGTACACGTTTTAACTTATTTTCTTTCAAAGGTTTTTAAAGGTTAAAACGGTGTCTAATCCATTCACTGAATTTTAATAGAACAGAATCACAGTAATCATATGTTAACTGTATAGGTCGAACAGAGTGGCGGATCGAAGTTAGAATCATATACACTAAAAAGACTTACAAAGAATCCGCCCCTTGGAAAGAGTAGCACAGCCTGTAAAGATTGTGTTTGTATCATCGTTCTACATCTATCTTATCATGCTTATGTATCTTTAAAAGATCAATGAAAATATACAAGAAATATTTTAAATAATTATATCACAATCAAAATTCTTTCCTCGTTTGCATTAATAAAAAGCATGAAAATCATTACTATAAAAATCATATATTTAAAGAGTACAAATGTAAAAGCATATACGTACACCTTTGTCTTCATCAAAGGCGGGTCTTTTGAATGTGGGAATTTATAAATACAGATGATGCAACCAACCCATTTTCATTTTTAAATAAACTTTTTGCTTGATGATTAATATTTCACAAATGCAACGAATACTTGAATCAAGGATATAATTGTGTTGCCTTAAGAATAATACATGTATTCAATTCTAATACATGTATATAACCTTAACGCTTTGTCCTTGCTACATACATTTTAATTAACAAATATTGAGGTTATTTTTGTGGTTCATATTATGTAAAGTCTTCTCATTCAAATCGACAAGAAGTAAACACGCACATCCTGTTTACCAGAATTCAAAATTTGGCCTAGATAAGCTGCAAACCACTATATTCTGTAACAGCAGGAGAATTGCATAGCAAGGTTATCATGACACTGAGACTGACCAGTGTGCCAATCTTTATATAGTGCCTCAGAGTTAAACACTGGGTGTGGATCACAAATTTGATGAAAAACATTTTTTTAAAAAGACATACAGTGTATTATTATATGTCAATTTTTTAAATTCATTTATTTATATTTTAATTTGTTTGTTTGCCTATGCTTTATTGATTTTTTGACGGATCTTTATTTCATTATCTTTTATTCAAGAACTTTATACATGTTTGTTTAATAAATTAGCCAAAAATTGAAATCATTATGAAATACTGGGGAAAAAATTTCCATTAAAAATTACAATTTCTCATTTCAACATTTTTTTGTTTATTTTTTTTCTTCGCAAACTCAATTTTAGGAAAAACACAATTATGTTTTATTTGAATGTTTTAAGAACATTTTGAAAGTAACATTACAAAATGTTGCAGTAAGAAAACAATTTAAAGAAAACACATTAAATTGAATATTTTAAAAATATTACCACAAGATACTCTTAAAATTTCAAATGAATTAAATAAATATTTTATAAACATTAATTTTCAAAATGTTTAAAAAAACAATGCTAAAACTTCTTTTTTAAATGTTTCAATGTAGTAAAAAGAATTATTTTATTTCATGTATTAAATATACATTTTCACCGCCTAGAGAGAAAAATACCCGGAATTGCATGTTTAACTAACAGCGATATTTAGAATTTAAAAAAAAAATATTTTTAAAATGTTCCTTCCAAACGTTTTAGAAACGTAAAACGCAATGTTTCCGATTTGCAAAAAACGGATGTTTCATTTCATGTTCTAAGAATGTTTTTAAAACGTTATATAAATTTTTCAATATTTGAGAGCTCTACATACCCCTTGAATAATTTTTGAAACGTTTCAAAAATATTTTAGAAACTTGCTTCTTAAACAATATTAAAGAATATTTCAAAAAAATTTGAAAATGTACTTTTAAATGTTTCAGAAACATATGCATGCAATGTTTCAAATTTATGGTTAAGGAATGTTTCATTTCATGTTTTTAGAACGTTTTTAAAACGTAATATATAAATCTATGATATGTGAAAGCTAAACATATCATAAAAATCATTTTTAAAACGTTTCTAAAACATTTTAGAAAAATGTTCCAAATGCATTTTATCATAAGTTCCTTGAATTCATTTTTGAAATGTTTTTAAAATGTGATAATGAGAAGAGGAAATGTTTTTAAAATATTTTTAAAATGTTTAGTCGTTTAGTCTGAAATGCATCGACAAAACTTTTTACAACACCAATAAAATGTTTTGAAAATGTTTTGTGCTACTTGGGTGAAAATGACCTTTTCTTTGTTATCAGTCTGTACGGAAAAATAATACCATTAAATTCATCTACCTAAATTATCTATAACATAGTGTACTTGTGTTTGAAAATGCATTTATTTCACATCATTTATGACAAAAATAATACAAAATGTACCAAAGCTCTTTGAATTACACATAGTCAAATTGGCGATAATGTGGAACACCAATTTATCAAGCGATACTATGTTGAGCAGAATGTAGTTCTTGTATACATAGGAAAAGAGATGTTAATAATGAAAAAAAACCATAAGTATAGGGAACAGATTGATTTCTATGAGAAGGGGTTTAAGGTTGATTTGACTGGGTATCTGATAGATGAGAATATACCTTTAAAATGAAGACTAGGTGAACAGACACTAGCAGGACGTCATATGCCTACGCGAAGACCGCTGTTTCACAATTTAATCAATCATGTTTAAAATCGGGATTATGAAATTTTCTTTATAAAGAATTGACTCTGCCGTCTTTGAGTAACACGAGTATTTGAAATAATATTATATAACTTTGTAACTACAAAAAAAAAAAAATATATATATATATATATATATATATATATATATATATATATATATATATATATATATATATATATATATATATATATATATATATTGCTGAAATTATGTGATTTTGTTAGAGACACAGTTTCCAGAACAAATTAACAAAAACTATACGAGCTTCGTTTCAATGACGTCCTCAGCGTTACGCCAACATTTGATTTGTTAGATTCGTTTACCTTTGAAAAAAATGTTATCTGTAAAGCTAATTCATTGGTTTTTTCAGGCATTAAAATGTTGAACTCAATGTATGCCAATTTCGGACATAATGGTCCTAGTGAAACAAAATATTTTGAAAATGTTAGCTTTTTTATCTGACAACCATCAGACATAATTACGTACCTCTTGTACCAGTGATCGGATTTCGAGTTAATAAAGAAAAAAGGGTGACGAAGACACAATTCAGAGTATTTTCTCCCAACGCTGATATTTTGAATATATTAATGTCTCAGAAGATAATGATAACAATATATTTCATATGTATTTAATAATTATTTTTTTCAAATCCCTACATGTATGAAACAGAATTACGAAGAAGTTTCCTCCAATGGCTGATGTCGAAGCATAAGAAAATAAAAGTCGTACGTCTATATTTTGGGAAGCAAGACCATACGTATCAAACAACTGGAAATGGGGAAATTGTAATTGTATTAGTCATTGATGATTCAAATGTCATTACAGATGAATTTTATCGTTTTAATGGGAAATCATTTTACATAATATGCAGACTCTGGAAGATCCCACCAGTGGAAGGTATAAAGGTGACTAAGTTTGAAATCGGTAAAATACTCGATAACAATGTTTTAACCACCATCGAAAAATGCATAGGCAACAGATCGAAGAGTTTGTTTAAGAGACATTCAAATTTGGAAATCATCACAATGTGTGCATTTCGTTCAAGAAACAATGGAGACGACCTTATTGATGAACCGTGCATCGTCTTTTATTGCTCATGTAAAGGTGTAGTACCTATAAATGAGGAAACATTTCCTAAACATCTAGATGATATACCAACAGATGTCAGAGAGGGATTCTTTTATCAGTTTCCTGGATTTTTGAGAGGATCAACAGAAGTTCTAGATCCGCTAAGAATGGGCGCAATTATAAGTAGAAAAGGTAATATTTATATAAAATTCTTTATTCTTTAATTAACAGTTACACTTGTAACGAAGCACTATACGAGGTGTATTTAGAAACAATTAACAATTTGTTTATTTTCCTTTCTAATACAAGTGTGTTTGCAAAAAAGTGGTATATACATGTACCTTTTATTAAACTAACCACAGATAAAATCTTTTTATTGTCAAAGCATTTCTGATATATTGAATTTTTCAGCTTGTTTAATTTAAAAATGTGTCTATAATAGTTTTACCTGTTGAAGTCAAGAAACATATTTCTTTAAAGTCATGATCAGAATATTAGGATTTAAATACTTAAACATTTAATGTCTTTTAGAATTTTGCAGCAATTAAACTCTTTAATGTTCATATAAAATAAACTTATATAATATTTAACCTTTGATATCATTTTTCACACATTAATTCATAGTTAGTATGATGTGTGAAGAACTGCCCTATCAAGAGGTTTCACATAATATTTATTTTTAAAAAATATGCAAAAATCACATGTAAACCCGTCTTTATAGAGAAATTAATGTTGAGGAAAAATTAAAAGCAAGTCCACATGCGTGTATCTAGCTGTGCCCTGAAATTATAAATTTGTTATTCTGTTAAGTACAATTTCTTGCTAATAAGTTCTCCTAATATATGACAAGTGACCTGTGCAAAAAGTAATCGAAGATGGTGTTTTGTTATGTTATTAATGTGTTATGTAACAAGCACTTAAAAACTCATTTTAAATGCCTAATGCAACCTACATATAAAATGAAAGTTGTGTGATCAAATGATTTTATATAAAAGTTCTTTTTGGTATAAAGATACATACTATGAGAGGTCTTAATGGAGTTTTATGACGAGACTTACTTTTACAATTTAAACAGAGATAAACTACAATAACCAAAATGTAAAAGTCAGCTGTCGAATGTAAAAGTAAGTCTCTTCATAAAACTCCAATACTAAACTGAGTTCAAGGTAATATGATTGATTTTTTTTTTTTGGCTTTTCTAAACACCAGTGCACGAGTTAAATTTAATCTCTTGAAAAAATGTTCCTCTGAATAAAAATGTAAGTTTAATTACAGTGAAACTGTAGAACTATTCTTAAATAACTTGAGCAGAAGTTATGTTAGGTGGGAGTTCTTAATCACATCTTTGCTGGCATCTGCCGGCATGTTTGTGTCTAAAGTTATAACATTTTCCTTGAAAGAAACACCTAGTCAAATTAAACCAGATTCATCAAAATGGGAAAATTATTCTTAGGTAAGGGGATGTACTTTTGCATATAGAACTATGCATTCTCTTTAAGGAAAAAATCACAACAAGAAAGTAAAAATGATATCTTTTTTTAATCTTAATAACCACGGAAGATGTAACTTATGTGGAAATATTCTCGGGTAATATACAATTACTAGTAAGTAGCAAATACTGCCTTTGAATTTTGTGGGACCACAGTGAATTTAATATTTTTTATAGGAATAAATGCGAGAAAAATTTTAAATATAAAAAAACAGGCCATCAAAGCTTTAAAAAGTAATATGTAGGGAAAATTTCCTTCTCTCTCTTTTCAAGATCATGAAATTCATGTTTGGTTATATTATATTTATCTACAAACAGCATGTCTTGCAAGGTCGTTCAATATATTTTTTCTCATAAACAGCAAATCCTGGTTATATAGTACATGTATCAATAAAAAAGTATCTTCATGTAGTTAGGAGTCCATTTTGTCCAACTTTTGATCCTGTGTAAAGAGCGGAACAACAATAACGATAAAAATAGCTAAAATAATTTCCAAAGATCTTCGAAAGTCAGAATAAGGCAAAGGAATATCGAACTCTCTTTTAATAATGTAGAATTATGTTGTTCAACTCATAACCTCAGGAGGGGTTAGAACTACGAAAAAATTAAATATTTACTTAGCTAATACCGTCTAACCAATATGCTCTGTGTACTATGTGGCCCATGTACCTCTTATTTTATTTCAGATCAACCTTCAAATGGAACTCTTGGAGGATTTGTCACCATGGGCTCTGGAGATATTGGATTTATCACAGCTGCTCATGTCTTCAAAACCGTGTCAGGATATTTCACTTCAGACGACAATTTCGACGTTGTGCAACCATCGCGTGGCTTTTTTAGGACAAATGTATGTGGTGTAAATGCAAAATCGTTTGTTTCAGCTGGTCTATTTGATGGGCACACTATAGACGCAGCACTTGTCAGAATAACAAGTAGAAAACCAACAAGAGGATTATTTGCAGGGATGAACGAACAACAATTAAAGGAATCTGGTAAATTTTTACTCACCCTCATATTTTAATTGTGTTTCTAACGCATCTCAAAATAACATCGAAAACATACACAAAAACCATATTGATTATAAACTGTCATTTGTTTAAGTTCACAATTCAATTAAAATTAGTAAACGTAGTTCACCTTCTTCCAAACAAATCCCTTAAAGGGAAAAATTCTTTGTTACCTAATAATTTTAATGATACAGCTGTGCTTTCAAAATATTACTGAACACTTAGTAATTTGCCTTCATTCTTTTATAGTTTGATATAAGAACAAACATTATCAAACAATGGTATAACACAAATGATTAAAATACGTAATGTATATTTGATAAAAAAATCCCAAAAAACAATGTTAGCACTATTTTAATCACCAAAAAAAAAACGTTATTCAGGAAATAGTATTTTCTAGCTATTATAAATGAAGTAAAGAACTAATGTACAAATTCAGTTACTGTACGACTAACAATATCAATAATGACGTCCTTTAAGTGCCTTAAAATGTTGCTTACATATATCATCGCAGATAATTTTAAGCTAAGGTCTTACATGTAAAGCTTATCATGTAAAGTATCTGCAAAATCAAAATGCATTATGTTCTTATGTATTGTTTAAAATCATGCGTGTCATATTGAACAAAAAAAACATCAAAAGTATATACTTTAGAAAGAAAACAGAATAACCGTCAAAGCATCACTGTATGTAGAAAAAGATTCGCCCTCGTTTTATTTTCGCCCCTTTTACCATTGTCACAAATGAACGAATCTAAAAAGAGGCGAATTCAAAGAAAATATTTTAAATTCTGAAATAGAACTAGGACTGGGCGAATTTAAAACGAGGCAAATTTGAAAACAAGTGTAAAATAACAATGGTACGAAAATGATCTGCGTAAAGTATAATTATGTGTATAAACATATACAAATGTAAAAAATTCTATTGAGGAAACTGGTACTTCGTATGAGGACGTAAAATTCGAAGCCCTATATCGCGGTATGAGCTGTCTAAAAAGATCCCTCACTGCTCAATGGCCCTAGGTGCCGAGTATAGGACACATTTTGTAGCTATCCATCCTCAAATGGTGGTGTTTTAAATGAGTGAAATATCCTCGAGAAGGACATTAAAACAACAAACAAACAAAGAATATTCGTAAATGTTAACTGTTATATCATAACCATATAAGTCATAATCATATCTACAAGCGATAGATTACTCTTATATACAGGAAATATACTAGTAATTCATACATGAAATAAGCTTTTGAAAGGAAAACAAGATAGCCTTTGAAGAAATAATTTTAATCTGAATCTCCATTTTATTCTTTTAAAGAAATATATTAGAAGTGAATGTCGAACTTTGGCAATCATTTTCATTAATACAAGCAAGAACGACTAAAGAATGATAGTATTGATTTGCCACTCACATGCACCAATTAGGCTTTTTTCGTCACGTACATTAGCGCATTTGAATAATTTTTATATTCATATTGATATTATTGTAATTTCTCACCAAAAAAATCATTACGAGTGGGCGAAACATAAGGAAATTTAAATTAAATGAATAAATGTCAATTTCTTGGCTGTCTTACAGAGTTAATATTTATCTTCGGTCAAACTCCTCGAAGAAGTTCATTATCTTAAACATTTTGATAGGACATTACAACTAGAATTAAATTGTACTATATTAATCATTTATGTCTCGTTATACAAGAGTAAGCCACCTTGGGAAAAAAATAAGAGTCACTGATCCATATCCATAAGAATTTTGAAATCTGGTTATGTGTTTCAAAGTCGATTTTATATGGTTTAAGCACCAATTAGCTTTTGAATAAAAATGTTGTTAAAAGCAATTAACCATTTCTAACTTAACCAGTTTAAAAATTATTAACCAAAAACAATTGAACTCTTTTTGCATTTAAACAATGTATAAAACCAATATTCTATTCAGTCGTAATTAAATTTGTGTAAAATGAAAAGGCAGAATAGAGTTGGCGAGCGTACATGTAGTTCTCTACCAGAAATTAACCGATTGCTTACTCTGCTTATCAATTTGCAGGATATAGTTTGGAGATGCTACCAGAGTATGACAATGCCGCTATTAGGGATTTCCGACAGGAACAGACCAATCGCTGGAATACTTGTGTTAAATTTGGTGCAAGTACCGGACTTACTAGAGGTACACTGTGTCTCAATGGGATCTGTGTGAAATGGACTGACGATTTCATCACACTGGGAAACCTGAATTCAGTCTGCGATATATTATACTTTAAACAACTCCAAATACAAGGACATCAGAATTTATCTTTTGCACAACCCGGTGATTCTGGAGCTTTGGTTTTCCAAGTTGATTCAGACGATACAAATGGTCAACGCCTTGTTTGCATTGGCATGGTGGTTGGTGGAACATCCGACAATAAAACTGTTGTTACACCCATTGTTCCTATACTTAATGCCCTAAAGGTACAAATGCATCAGTTCAATACAATCAATATGGATGAATCATAAGATCAAAGTTTTAAAGTCTTTATTAGTGTTCACCTAGAGTGCAGCTTTATGATGCATAAAAGCCTTTTTTGCAAGAACCGTCCTTCTACAAAAAATTCAGTGTATTTCTTCTTTTTCTTAAATTGCATATTTTTTATCATAAATTTATGATATTATAATGATGATAATAAAATACCTAAATCCTTTCCAATAAAGTCGTATGTAAGGAAAGATACCTCTAACATTACTACATTGGGAAATTCTGGTTAATCCCCTTTGATAACGTAAAGTATGACATGACTTCAAGGCCATTCTTGGGGTATTTTTATCACAACATGATTAAAATAATAGGCAACATTCAAAAATGTACATCTTCAGCTTCAAGACGGAAACAAGTAAATAAAGGAGAACATTCTGGTTGTAAGAAAGTTTATTGCTTGAAAATGTCCGTACAAGCTATGTGTCAGATACATGGTTTATTAATAGAACTTGTATCCAATACTTATATTTACATCATAATTACTACCATACGCAGCAATGTTATATGAGTTTGTCAAAAAAGTTATTATTTGTCAAAATAAAAAGAACGTAGGAAAACGTTTGTTTAAATAGTAAAATCACACACGCACTATCAATGAAATAACAATTCGGATCATTAAAGCATATATAAATAATCAGTTAAATAGAATCTGGTTGGCTGAGACACTCCCATGACCGTCGCGTTTGCCCTGCAACAAAACTTCGTGTTTTACGATTATTATGTCACAATGCGTCGACAGAGATGATTACTTCTGATGTAGATTGCTTAAACCATTGATTAATAATAAATTTACGAAATATAGAATTATAATATAGATATTTAGAAAAGTTTTTCCATGCGTGGGGAATGAATGTTAACGTTACTATTGTGTAAATCAGAATGACTTGTCAAGAAGGATCTTTTATGAAGCATGGATAGTGGTGTGACGTAAACCTGATTAATATTGTTCATATGAAATATTTACTTTATTAATTGAATTTTCTTTTATATTCCCTGCATAGTGCTTGATTCGATATAATAAACAATTTATTGCATGAATGTTCGGGAGACATGGAGATTTCTTCGCTCATCAAAAATTATATTCCCCTCGGCCATCGCCCTCGGTAAATATGAATTTACATGGGCGAAGATATCTGCATGTCTCCCGGACATTCAAGCAATAAATATATAATATTCAATATGCTTACAAGATTCATGTGATATTCTCATGTTTTTTATTGATAACATTATATTTATGATTCCTAGATACGATAATGCAAGAAATTCAGTTCATATAGTTATATGTATACATATATATGCATTATACATATTTTTTTTTTCAATATATTGTTGTGCATAACCATGATTTTCTTTATAGTTATGAAAAATTTACTATGTCTTTGCTTTTCAAAAACGAAACTTAAAAAAAAACTAAACTGTTCCCACTTACATGTATATCTATTGGATTTTTTTTTTCAAATAAAGTTCAGCAATTTGATCATTTTGGTAAAGTCCAAAACTGTAATCAATCATACTATTATCTTTTACTAATGAAGTTGCATTTTCTTATTATGTCTAAAAAGATTAATTCTGATGTTCTGAATGAAGTTTTGTTTTATGCGTTTGATTATTTAAAGACTTTAATTATTGAATAAAACAATTAATAAGAGTTTGTGTCTAAAAATATAAACTTAAAGCTCATGAAAAAGCACAGTGTGTTCTAAGAATTTAAAAATAAATCCCTTTCATTTTACAGTAAGTGTTTTTTTTTTATTTAGAGCATGGCAATCTAGCAACTAAATAGAATAATGGATTTTTGCAATACCTTTTTGTATGAAAATATGGATAACAATGCACTTTATTGCTTGGTTATAGAAATTTAAGTACATTTTAATAAAGTTAGGCCAAAGTTAGGACATTACTAGCATTACCCATTATAAAGTACTTTTGCAATCGAGTGGAATAGTACAGAAGTTGAAATTTAGAGTAGCGAGTACTATATATGTGATAAAACAACTGAACCTATTCATCACTCAAAACAATTAATCAATTCAGAACTTTAAATGAGCATATCTGCCTTGAAAAGGACAGTTTGAAATTTAAAACATTTTAGGTCACCTGAGTCATTTGAATGAACCGTTGCAATCCGTTTTTGTCAATCATTGTGTGTCGTGCGTCGTATGTTGTGTGTTAACATTTGAACATTTCAGCTTCACCTCTAAAACCACTGACCCAACTTCACTCAAATCTTATATACAGCATCTAACGGGGACGGGAAACGGGGAACAAAAATTGTGTGAATTTTATGGCCCCTGGCTTTCTGGGGCCCGAGGGTGGGAAAAACCACTTAAATTACTGCAATCTTTAAAATCGTCTTCTTTACTAGTAAACATAAAGCAGTCGTTGGAATTGTGAAATTCATGGCCCCAGTGTCAAGGGTTCTAATGCTTGGGCGGGGCTATATAGATTAAATAGTAAAAATGCATTATTTCTTTGAAAATCTTCCCTACTCCAGGGTTTTAAATAAGCTAACTAAGTACATAGTTATGATAAGCAAGTGTGCCAGAATTGTGATTTTTATAGCCCAAGGGTAAGGGGTACTGGTGTTAGAGTGAGGCTTTGAAAATACATTAATTCTTTAAAAATATTATTCTCTGTTCCTGGGAATTAAATAAACGAACTAAGTACATATTTATATGGAGCAAGAATACCTTTTGCAATTTTGTGAAGATTATAGCTCCAGGGCCAGGGCGTTCTGGTGTTAGGGCGCGGCTCTATATATTATATAGTGAAAATACATTAACTCTTTGAAAATCTTCTTCTTTAACCCTGGGTATCAAATCAACTAAGTAAATAGGTATAATGAACAAAAACGTCTTTTCCAGTTTTAAATTGCTTGGCCCTATAGGCAGGGGTTCTGGTCTTAGGGTGGGACTCTATTTATTACATAGTGAAAATACATTGAATATTTGAAAATGTTCTTCTCTTCTCCTGGGTACTTAGCAGATGAACTATCTAAAAATAGCTATGATGAGCAAGGGCCCTTTTTTTTCCAGAATTGTGATTTTTGGCCCCTGGGTAAGGGGTACCATAAAGGGGGGCTCTACTTATATACTGAAAATGACTTCTTTGTTAAAAATCTGCTCCTTAGTATTATAAAACATTTTTGACAAGCAAGGGTGGCCTTTCAGAAACTATGCAATGTGTGAACAGGGGTCCAGGATTCCCTTTAAGGTAGGGGGACTACTGATCATTGCTGAACTATTACCAATTAGTTGAAATTAACTTCTGCTTCTGAGTTATTTCCCTTTCAGTGAAAACTTATAGGCTTTCATTTCCAGACAAGGGCTTAGATACGGCAAAAGCTGGAGCAAAAATTATACTGATTTTAGATAATAGAAGGATTAAAGTTGTGCACATCGGTTTTTTTCGACTTCTCTATTCAAAATGGTGCTATTAGGGGTAAAAAATTAGAACGCCTAAAATAGCGAAATTTTACACATATTTTGTTTTTTATCTTCTAAACTAAAATATACTCTTCAAAAAAAGAAACGCAAAGGAGGAACAATGCCCTGAAAAATGTATGATATTTTGTCATACCATTTATTTTTGTATGCATACGATGTATTCGAGTGAAATGCATGATTTTTTAATGCAAAACTTAACTTTACAGCTATTCTACAAGTGTCACATACAAAAAGACCTGATTTCGCAAAATTTCCCTCAAAATTTTGATCTCAATTTTCATTTATTGAACTCTGATGCAATTCCTTCAGGTACAGAGGGGCTATCAAAAACGGGGGTTCTCGATATTTTGAATCTGGTTTTATCTGAAAATTGACGCGTCCTAAAAATGCTGCACCTGAATGTTGCGTAGTACAAAAAGAAAAATGGGCGACTCGAAGCAGGGGTACCGCAATCTACCAATGCAAGAGGTTTTAATGTTTCACACAGACCATATCTAACCTATAAAACATAAACCATAAACATCGAACACCCAATGTTCGCAAAAAATATGGTAGACGACGTGTGACAGCAGCACAGCATCACTTCCGAGGATTACGTAAATTGCATGAATGTACCGCAAGGACGTCATCTAAAGCATAAGCTATCCATGAACTGCACAGATCATCTAACAAGACCGTTTTCAGTTGACTACGAATTATTGCAAAAGGATTATTCATGCCATTGTTCCGACCCCACAAGACCCCAAATATCGACTTTAGAGATCTCATATCAATAGAGTATGACCACAACATCACTGCTTAACATATTGGTTAACCTACTAGTCCAGATTGTTTATCTGAAAGCCTCCTATAAGTTTAAGAGTGCTCATGCTTTGAAATGAATGTTAGACAGATAACTGCCTCCAGGACTTTAAAAAAGATGGTGGTGGTAGTGTAATGATATGGAAAACGGTATTATAAGAAAGTAAGATTGATTTGGTTCGAAAATGGATTTTGATGGAAAAAGGTACTCGAACCATGTTCTACCTACACATGCCCATTCAAATTGGCAGCATCCTAGAACCGTATTGCAATCTCACAATACACAGCCACATATGGATCGTTTGACACACCTATTCTTGCAAAAAACAACAACCTGTTTCACACACAGTCATCTAAATCGCTAGATTTATTCCAAATTAAGCAGCATTGGACAAAATGGATTGACATGATTTGCCAAAGACAATCGCATCCCTAGACTCTGCAACAGTTTACCAAAGTTCTACATTTGGAGTGGGAGAGTATTCCTATACAGATTTAATTACACACATTTGCTTCCATTTGATGCCGTTTATGACTATCATTTGTGTCTGACGGGGGGCATACCAGATATTGATCTTTAATGGTCTTAAACTGACTATAATTTCAAAATTGTTGAGTAATTATGACATTTAGATAGTATTCCTGTTGCTTACCACATTTCCGTTTTATCAATGCATCATTTTACTAAATTATCTTAATGTTCAATGTGACACTAAAATTCTACTATGCGTTTCTTTTTTTGAAGAGTATATTTTGTTAAAACATATTAAAACGAAAATTGTGCAAAATTACAAGATCTTTCAAATGATATCTTGAAAAGAGGACTGACCCCTTAATTTAGGGATCTAGAGGGACCGAAAGTTTTTTTTCTAGATATCTCAAAAAGTATTTGGAATTTGTTATAAATCAAAGAAGCAAAGTTGTTAAAAATCTTTAGTAAAATCTATTGAGATTATCAAAATACGTCTTGTGACGTTACTTCTTGCCAAACCGGAAGTAGTCAGAAAATGCATATTTTTTGCTGTTCTTGACACGTTTTGGGGAAATATTTGTCACTGGAAGCATAAAACTTAATTTTCCGGCCGTCGACGTCACTTCGTGTCGATCAGGAAGTAGAAAACAATGGTTTACTTTTGCAATTATCAACATAGATTTTAAAATTCAAATCATAAGAGACGTCATTTTTCTTTAAAAAAAAACAAAATAAAATGTTACTTCCGGTCAAACGGGACGGAAGACTTACTCGTTGCTTTGCAACGAGCTTTGCTCTAGTTATTATTATATTATGATATTGTTTTAAAATTATTTTACTAATTTTCTAGATAGAGAATTCACAACGATCTCAAATCTTTGAATCAGGAACAGGTGCCCGTCGCTAATATTTGTCATCATCCCGATCAGAGATGTGTGATTAATCAGTCTGTCACCAAAATCCGCGTAACTACTTAATACAAAATATATTCAAGATTTATGCACATCGTAGCTCCTCGATACAAAAGCTGAAACTAGTTTTTCATCGATTTCTACACATTGATTGATTTTAATTTACTCTTATTAAACAAGAAGTTGTAGCGTAATAGATGTTGCAGACTCTGAAGATGTAGACCAGGGGTGATTCTAGCCTTGTGCATGAATTCTTTTTTGCATTTTTTTTTTTCATTTTTTATTCGAAATTTGATAAATTTTATGGTATTATACCAGGAAATAGTAAAATTAATTTTTTATTCCTAAAAATATAAGCCAACTATCCAAAAAAAAGATGCGACTGAAGAAGAACTGAAAAGTCATTGTATGGAAACTGATTGATCACGGAAAAGTCCCGGGAAAGAATCTTTTCAGTGATCTTTCAGTGGGCACTCAGTTACCATTCTATCGACTGAATGATGTTATTTAAACCTGTGAAAATAGAAGAAAATTTTCCTTCATTTTTAGGTATGATTACTCAGAGGAGGCCTCGATTAGGAAACTCTGATAAAGAAAACTACTTGTAGTATTCATGTTTTTTAC